GATGTAAATGCAGGCATCTCTGTGATGTACGTGTGCTATCAGGGTATACAGTGGGTACGGAAAGTATTCAGACCCCCTTAAATTTTTCCCTCTTTGTTATATTGCAGCCATTTGCTAAAATCATTTAAGTTAATTTTTTTTCCTCATTAATTCTGCAAAAATGTCAACAATTCTGTGTTTTTCTGTCAATATGGGGTGCTGTGTGTACATTAATGAGGAAAATTTTTTTTACTTAAATGATTTTAGCAAATGGCTGCAATATAACAAAGAGTGAAAAATTTAAGGGGGTCTGAATACTTTCCGTATCCACTGTATATATATATATACAAATTATAATACTTCATAAGACCAATAAAAATTTTTTTTAGTGAATTGTTGGCCTTCTGGAAAGTATGTTCATTTACTGTACATGTACTCAATATTTGGTTGGGCCTCCTTTTGCATGAATTACTGCATCAGTGCGGCGTGGCATGGAGGCAATCAGCCTGTGGCACTGCTGAGGTGGTATGGAAGCCCAGGTTTCTTTGATAGTGGCCTTCAGGTCATCTGCATTGTTGGGTCTGATATATATAATTTATATTATTATACATAATCTGTTTGTTTGAGTGGCCAGATATAGTAACATTGCTGTAGTTATTTTTCTAACTTGCAGCACTGGTTAAACACATCATACAATGCATTTTTCATGACTTTTTCCCACTGTTTTCAATAAAGTTATAACGATAATTTTTTTCTGAATAGAATTGCTTTCTGTTCTTCATATGACACCCAACCTTTAACCAATATACTTGAAGAGACATAGCCTACCAATGTGCTTATTTTTATACACACAAAATAGCCCCATAAAGTATTCTAACACTTACAGTAAGCCACACTTAAAATGTCTGAATGTCATTGCATTAGAGGATAAAATATCTATCTATCTATCTATCTATCTATATATATATATATATATATATATATATATATATATATATATACACTTTATAACTAAATGGCATTTGGTTCGATATTCGCAACGAGATGACATTCAAACATTTTAAAAGTGGCCTCAATATTATGTGGACCGACATATAGTTTTTGCCTGAGAAATGATACCCTCTGCCGGTTAACTTAATTCACTGCAATAGTCTGAGCTAGAGCCTGTTGACTAAACATTAAAATTCTGAGTTTATATATAGTGAAACCTGGTTAGTAACACAGAGAAAAGACATTTCATGTTAACGAAGGAAACTAGCAAAAAAAACAGCTTCTGTCTTGAGTTTAACAACTGTACAATAACAGTGAGCGCTACAAGTATCTTGTGCTGCTGTTTATTGTCGCCCCTAGTGGCCGCCAAATGTCATTACCACGAATCATCACAGAGAGTAACTTCGCTTCACCGAGGTCACTTTTTAAATTGTATGCAGTTTGAGAGCGTCAAGATTGTAGCATTGTTCTTCAAATATCCTCAGCTGTACATTTTAAGTGTTAAAAACACCGGCAGCTCATATGAGCTCGAAGGAAGGCAGAATTAAGCGCACCAAAAATAATTGGATTCGGATGATGCACCTTCACTAACGCAATCAATAATCGATGAACGTCCAAATATTATACCTGCCGGGCGACAGTTAGAGAGGACACCTCCGTCTGAAAGTGAAAGAGTAACAACACACCAGCCCAGCGAACCAGATTCTTCTCCAACTTCGGAGCAAGTGGTCAAAGATGAGCCATGCGGCCAGGTAAACAAACAAACACAGCGATAGTATATCAATGGGTCATTCGTGTTTCTCACGAACAAATACTAATGTGTACCATTAACAATGAATAGCCTATATGGCGTCTTTTGCTTCATGATAATATATACATTTCTTTAGACTTAATTATTTTCTTTTTTTTATCATGAGAATGTTTTGGCTTGTCCTCACCCATGTGTTTCCAACATACTGGAAATGGATTGCATTAATTGTATCACATAACTTATATGATCAACTCATTTCTAATTATTGTTTTATTTCTGCTTTATGTTATAATGAAATGACCCTGACACTAAACAATAAAAACATAATGTAAAAAAATGCAAATTCTATTTAATATTATTAATACAATAATTTAATAAAGTTATAGTATTATAAGTGAAAATGATTAACATGATTCAAAGTTGTAATTTTGTCTTACAAGAAGAGTTTAATAATTAATCAAATTATACATTGTTCTTCAGAAACCCACTAAATTCACATAACTGATTAAAGTGACAATTGCCAATATCAGTAAAAAACAAAAAATAAGTTGAACTGATTATTAGTTTATCTAAACATTTACATGAATAAATATGAACTGAAACCTAGAATTCTCTCTCTCTCTTGACATTAAAAAATCCTTCAAACATTAAAATGTATTAATTTGGCTTAGGATGAAACTATAAAAATGTATATTTATTAGCATTATTTTAAATGTTCACATTTTTAAGAATCACTTTATGAAATTTCTTAATGAGTTCAAATTTCTTTCCAAGGAAATAACCAAACACCTTTCTTGCAATGGATCAAATGAAGTTCTCCAGCACCCCAAAGTTAAAGATGAGAGGAAGTCCATCAGGAGGTCTAGTTCTACAGCAGCAGGTGATTTCATATGCTCACTGACATAAGTAATCATATTCACACGTCTCTCTATGTTTTTATATTTGTTAGTAATGGTACCGCACCACATATACTCACTGATTCTTGTTCAGTATAATTTTATTGTTTTAATATTCACTTTCATGACTGTCCAGTGTCACGAATCCGGTCCATGAACTTTCCAATTCATTGACTCTCGCACTACACACTGTTGCACATCACCCCGGACTACATTTCCCATCATGCATTGCACTGATTGCACTCAGCACGAATTGCACACACCTGTTTACACTGATTGCACCCAGCTGTTTCATATCACTCCCTCACTATTTAACACTCACTCTGATCCCTTCCCTCGGCCGAGTATTGTTTCAGCATTTATCACGTTACACGTCATTATCATGAGCCAGGTCTAGTCACCGCTGATCTTCTAGAGCCTCATCACGTCGCAGCTGTTCATCCAGAGCTGCCGATCGTCGACCTGTGCTAGCCCTAGGACTATTCTTGTGTTTTGCCCACCATATACCTGTTTGCTCTCATCTGACCCATGCCTGCTGTATGACCACGTCTCTGCCTTTGTCTAATAAAGCTCTGCGAATGGATCCGCAAGTCTCACGTCTCGTCAGCCCCATAACATCCAGCAACCACTGGCAATACCGATCCTGAAATCTTCATCCAGGGAATGCAGGGATACAAATGGACAGACACAGACCTGGAGTTTGTCTATCAAAGCAAATGGAAAAAGCGAGTTCAACAGGCACAGGTCAATGAATGCATATTTTTAGATGGAATATTAGTATACTGCATAGTATACACTAAATACTGCATGCTATTTTAAAAACTACTACATGTTATGCAATGCTAAACATTTTCAGTAGTAGCGAGTGGTGTCCAGTTATCATCTCAGAAAAATCTTTGATTATTTACCATATGTTTATTCCAATATTTGTCAAATTGTTTAAAACCACTGTTAATATTACATTACTTATTAATTTGCATATTGAGAGTTTTGCAAATATAGTAGGTCACCTGGTATTCTGTGCACACTGAAATGTTGCATATTGTACACATACACAATGTCACATCCTCTCCTGATCATTGTCATTAAAATTCTTTTCATCTTGAGAATTAAATTAAACCAAGAGGCCATTTTCGTGACAATTTGATTTACAGCAAGAGTTAAGCGACTTGCAGAAGTCTCTGAAGAGCATGAAACAAATGCGGGACATGGGCCTTGCAGCACTTGACAAAATACAAACAGAGCTTTCTAAGGTGATATGACATATTTGTAATGCATTTTTCTCTTCAGACACACCACTTTCACAATGTGATGCTTGTGAAACACCTGTCTGATCTCAATATCTGTGGCTTTGGTGTTTGAGGTGGCGTCATGTGAACATTTACAGCAAATTTCCATGGAAATACTTCTGAGGTCCCTGAGCTCTAGTCAGCTGGAAGGGCTTGATCTTAAAAATCTCCTTGCCAAATTAAAGGTTGCTGATGTGCACTGCACTACTGCTGAGGAGAAGGCAGAGGTCAGCAAACTCAAGACAGAGGCGGAAAAACACAAGTATTGAGGTATTAACCAGACAGCATGCACACAATGAAAGAATGGCTTTTCTAGTGGTACTTACCCATGCAAAACTCACTAGCATGATGCTAAAATGTTACCATGTGGTTGCTAGGGTGTTCTGGGTGGTTCCCTCCAAGTCTTCTGTGTCCCCACATCAATGTACATCTATGGGATGTTTTTGCCAGTTTTATTGTCCACCAGAAGAAAACAGTTCTAAATCTCTTTTCAACATGCTAAAGTTGTTGCTGCAGATTAGCAGTGTTTAGATTTTTGATACATCTACATTTATTTTGTTTTCAGAGAAAAGGAGTGATTCATGAAGGACACTGACAGCTGTAAGGAGAACAGCAACCAAATCAAGGTGACTGCTAGCAAGAGCACATCCTCAGATATTTTTTGAAATGTGTGTCTTTTGAACGTTTTGGACTTAAGATGATCCTTTTTTTTTGTGGGAAGGTAAACATAGATACTCTGAAAGCAGAAATATCTGTTCTGGAATCCCAGCTGTCCGGTAAAGAGGTTAGTGGATCACTTTTGACTACTGTTTGCTATTTCCGATCTGATACTTTTAGCACTAAGCAGACATTCAAACTGAATAAAGGCCCATTACAATGACGATAACTATAATAGCAACTATAGTTTTAATAATCATTCTAATTGAGAGAGATTTTCCACATGGCTATAACGATTATAACAATATTATGAGAAATATTATAATTGGAAACATAGAGAAAATATAGAGCGTTATCGTCCAGCTAATGAACAATAAAAACATTGACAGATAATCAAAATCCACCTGACTTTAAATATAGCTAATATAGTTATCGTTCATGGTGTGAACGGGCCTTTAATATGTACCTACACATTTTTAGTCAATTAAATTTGCACCACAGTCAGCTAAACCACAGCAAAAAGTCCACAGAGGCACCAAACACTCTACTGCCCCTAAACTCCCTTCAGACCCCAAACCTCCTGCCTCTCCTCCTGCTCCAAAACCCTCCAAACCTCCTGCCTCTCCTCCTGCGCCAAAACCCTCCAAACATCCTGCCTCTCCTCCTGCTCCAAAACCCTCCAAACCTATTGCTGCTCCTCCTGTGCCAGAGCCCTCCAAACCTATTGCTGCTCCTCCTGCGCCAGAACCCTCCAAACCTGTTGCTGCTCCTCTTGCGCCAGAACCCTCCAAACCTATTGCTGCTCCTCCTGCGCCAGAACCCTCCAAACCTATTGCTGCTCCTCCTGCGCCAGAACCCTCCAAACCTATTGCTGCTCCTCATGTGCCAAAACCCTCCAAACCTATTGCTGCTCCACCTGTGCCAAAACCCTCCAAACCTATTGCTGCTCCACCTGCGCCAAAACCCTCCAAACCTATTGCTGCTCCTCTTGCGCCAGAACCCCCCAAACCTATTGCTGCTCCTCCTGCGCCAGAACCCTCCAAACCTATTGCTGCTCCTCCTGCGCCAGAACCCTCCAAACCTATTGCTGCTCCTCATGTGCCAAAACCCTCCAAACCTATTGCTGCTCCACCTGTGCCAAAACCCTCCAAACCTATTGCTGCTCCACCTGCGCCAAAACCCTCCAAACCTATTGCTGCTCCACCTGCGCCAAAACCCCCCAAACCTATCCTCTTTTTGAAAATCTTTTAATTAGCAATGATGTAATTTAGACTTTTAGACTTGGGAGTAGTTTAGTGCCCTCTAGTGGATATTTTGAGTTTAGCATTTATGGACACTCAGTGGTGGATATCAGATGTAATTCTGTCTAATGGTCTTACCACACATTAATGTAGTTTTTTTTCCTTTACTCCACATGTTATGATTTTTTTTCTTTTCTTTGGAGATGAATAAACATTTTTCAACTCTCCCTAAAGCAATCTGGGTTGTGTATTGGCTTATTCAGAACATCTGAGAGTTGTCATATTACATGTAACTCTCACAGATAAATTTCCATTCTGTTCAAACCACCAGTGTCTAATTGCCAAATAAGGTCCTACTGGAAAATCCAGCTTAGGGTGATAGCTGTGTTTTGGAACATGCTGATTTCTAGCTGGTCCAAGCTGGTAGATCAACTTGGAACAGCAAATAACAGCTGGTCATACCAGTTCATGCTGGTTTTTGGGGCACAGATGCTTAAACTGGATTTTCCAGCAGGGGCCTGCTTTTGTCTACAAAGTCTTGGTTTAGCTATGTGGACTTCAGACAAAATACCTTTTTAGCCCAAATAAGATTTGAAATGTTAACATTTCAATTAACAATGTTTTTTATCTTTTCTTTTGCAAAAGCATGTTCTGGGTGGCTGCGAGGACATTGCTATGCAATTGCTAAAGTGTTCTTGTTGGTTGACAGCATGTTTCTGTTTGGTTGGTAGGGTGTTCAAGATTGTTTTGAGGGTGTTGCTAGAGTGTTCTGGTTGGTCACCACTTGCCAGTGCATTGCTATGAGATTAATTACACGTTTTGAGTGGGTGGTGGTTAACGTATTGCTATTTGGTTGCTACTGTATTCTGTGTGGTTTCTTGGACCTTGCTAGATGGATGCTAGTGTATTTCTTAGCGGTACCTTGGCTAGATTCTAGGGTGTTGCTAGGCCGTTCTGGGTGGCTTTCAGTGCATTCTTATGCAATTAAAAACATAATCCGGTGGTTGTTAGCACATTGCTATTTGGTTGCTACTGCATTTTGTGTGGTTTCTTGAAGCTGGCTAGGTGATTGCATTCTCTGTTGTTTTTTTTAGTGGTTGATAGTGTTCCAGCTGGTTTCTAGGGTTTTACTAAGGTGTTTTTTGTGGTTATCAGGTCATTGCTAATGTATGTTATTGATTAGTTGTTCTGAGTAGTTGTTAACGCAGCGCTAATTTCATTCTTGTGGTTGCTTACCTCCCAAGTCCTTAAATGTATATCGATGTCTGTGTCCGAAATCACTCACTTATTCACTACTCCTACATTACTACACTAATATAGTCCACTTAAAGAAGTAAATTCATTCAGTGTGATGCTCATGGGTAATCTAAGCTAGCCATTAAGTCTAAATCAGTTGTACACTCGTTATTGCTCTACATTATATGATTGAACAATGTCCACTTTATGGTCACCTTTCTTGTAAAAAGTGTAAGTCTGTTTATTAGCAAGCTATGAGACTGCTTTCATCTGGTTTGAGCCCCACTGGTTTGTACTACCTGAGTCACTCTTCTAAAGTTAGTTTTAAATGAATGTTGTTGGAGATAATTTAACACTGTTTATTTTGTGGTGATTTTTTAAACCTTAGACTTGAACTTTATACAAATATAATATATACATACACAGGAATGGTTGGAACATGGGTCTGTAGAGGAAACACATTGACGCTTTGCTGACTCAACCAGAGTTACCCATTTTTGTTGGCTTGGAAACGGTGGATGAGAGATCGTGAAAGAGTCCAAATGTGGTTAACATATCATACAGCAGGGAACAACTTCCCCCGGGCTTACATCAACAGATTTCTGCTGGATCAGTTAAAATCGGCGTTGAAGCCAGGTACACTTTCAAAACAGTTGATTTTTGGGAATTTTGTTATAAGAGTGCTAATACCTTCCAGACCCTATCTGGTTTCAGACTGTATTTTAGCATTTCAAGTTTGTATTCCATTAGTTTGTACCTAAATGAAACCTTGCAAACCACTTTCATAACACATAACACATTCACTTTCATTAAAATGTAAAGAGCAGCGTGAACTTTCTGCTAAATATGTCCTTTTGTTTTCCACGGAAGACAAAGTCATACATGGAACAACATAAGGGTCAGAAAACAATGACAGAATTTAATATTTTTTTTGTATGTACTGTACCTTTAAGAGGTTAGAATGTGAAATCACACCTCGTCTGCTTCTTACAGACAGACATTGGGCAGTCTTTGCATGATGGACCAAGAAAGGATTCTTAAATATTTAAGTGAATGATGCCTGCAAAAGCTTCCCAGCTGTACCAACAAGCGGTTTCCTGTCTCCAGACTCATCAAAGGCCTAATAGACAGACAGGACAGTGGAAACACATTGGCATTAAATCACACGCTACTATAACCGACATGGTGTAGTCTTTGCAAGGTATCCTTCTGGCCAATGTCTCAATCAAAAGCAAACTCAAATGTGACACGAGCGACCTCATGGTTGAGATGGAAAGATTTAGTTCTCTATGCTTTCACGAGCGCAGCCATCTGCTATTCACTCTCTGATTTCATCAATGGAAAATTGAGACCGACCTGGCTAAAAGGTAAATTGCCGGTCTTTGCACGTGTCAAGTGTAGGGTCAATCTGGGGCTAAAGCTCCCATAATAAGTCAACCATATGAAAATTCACTCCTTGTCCATCAGGATATGGAATTGACATTCCTGCAAGAAATGTCATATAATTGTCATAAGTAACTCAGTGGTATTTTTTTCAGTATGGCATTAAGTAAATTTAATAAATAAAATTGCATAATATATAAAATTAGTGTAATTTATATATAGCTATATATAATTGTAATATTTATTCACAATTCTTATGTGATATTTCTGTATGTAATGCAGATTTTGAAGGATCATGGGTCACACTTTATTTTAAGGTCCAGTTCTTGATATGAATTAATTATTAACTATGTCTTTTGCCTCAATAAACTCCTAATTACTGCTTAGTAGAGTAAATGTTAAGTTTAGGTATTGGGTAGGATTAGGGATGGGGAATATGGTCATGCAGAATATGTGCTTTATAAGTATAAATAGCCAATACGGTAGTAATATGCATGCTAATAAGCAACTAGTGAGAATTGGTCCCTATACTAAAGTGTTACTGGATCATGTGACTGAAGTAATGGCTGCAGAAAAATCTCTTACAAACCCTGTACAGAATGGTAATTATGTATATTTCTTTTTTTAATATCCAAGTTAAAAATTCATCTAAGAGTGGTGTTTCTGTTTTATATTGGTGTATTGCTAGATCAAAGCTGCATGCAGGTAGTAAATATATCACTGCTGTGTGATGTGACTTATCTGTTGTGTTTTTTCCCCAGGTTTCATTGTTTAAATCTGTGCTTAACCTCATAAAAAGTGATTAGAATATTTCTCTGACATCTTTCCTGAAATACTGCAACCAAGGCTCCACCGCAGCTGTAGTTCTTGGTTGGTTCGTCACAGTCATTTATATCAAATACAAGTTCAAGCTTAGTTTTTTGTCATTCCAGCCATACAGTACAAGTATGGTGCGAAATAAAGTGTTGTTTCGGCAGTAGCGACAAGACAAAGTGTGTTCCGGCAGCAAAAAATCAGGCTTTTTTTGTCCAAAATTTGTTTAGTTTTGTTTTTAGTCCAGTTTAAATGTTGCAAAGAACTATGAGAAACATAGGATTTGCTCTCGATTTTTGCCTTGTTCATTACTCGGACTGGTGGGTTACACATTATCCTTGTACTGAACCTGAGAAATATCTGACCAAACAAGTACGCTCTTGAAACATGGCCATTATTGGACTCAGTGAGCTGAAGGACCTTGTGTTTGCTTTTTATTCGTGTAATTTTAGCTCACTTGTCAGTTGAACCTGGAACATATTTAGTTCAATGGCAAAGAGAAATAAATGGAGGAATCGTGTGATTATGAACAACCACATTCTTTCATATTTTTAACGGTCTGTTTTGGTCTGCAGTAGTACTTCATTTATCAGGCCGAGCTAGTTCAGGGTGCTGTTAGTATGCTAGGACCTCATGAAAGCCTATTATTATGATGATAAATGCATTGAGCTGGAAGCCACATATGTTGGTGTAAGAGATTAGCTTCTGTTTTCATAGTATTAGCGGTGAGTCCTCAGACAAGGTCAGCGCAGGAGATTGTAGGCCCCCAGAAAGCCAGTTGTCGTCCTGTCCAGTGGATACCACCAATCTCATTTAAAATCCATTGTGCCATTAAAACTCTAACTCCTTTATTATGGAGGCGACTAGCTCAGGGTCGGCCCTTGATTAATCAGCCATGGACTGTGATTTACTTCCAGCCCAAATAAACATGTTCCTTTGTTTTGGCTAGCAAGACAGATAGGCGCTTGTATTAGAACAACCCCAACTTTGATCTCACACACACTGATCCTTTAATTGTAGTCATTGCACTCAAGGATTTCAAATTCACATGTTAGTTATCCAAAACTCACTGGAACGCTCTTAGTGCTTTTGCCATTGCAGCCACTAGAGGTCAGTGTGGCACCAGAAGGCACCTGTGTAAACTTTTGATAATTCAGCTGAGGTTCAGCTTGGTAGCATTGTCCTGTTAACACCAGGTAGCAAAATGTATTCTGAGTAAGTACATTTTTGGGAAGTAACATATCTCTGTTATTGCGTTATATTACTGTAGACATTTTACCATTGTTTTGGATGTGCATATTTTCCCGCTCTTCCATTTTACCAGTGTGCCATTTGTTTCTAGAGACCTCTTAAAATGTGAAATAGACCTATTTTTCCCTGTCTACTGCCTAAAGTTCAGTGTAGTGATGGGTTTTGGACTATGGCTGAATTAATAACACATATATAGAAATAGCTATACTATGTTAGTTATCCAAAACTAGCTATATGCTATTTCTGCCATATCAGTGGGGTTTAATGCCTAAAATAAGGTCTTTGGTCTCAAAAACAGTTCACATTTTATTCTACGACATAACATAC